TGCATCCAAAAAATGAATTCATTTTTATTTTTTTATTTTTATTGTGTGTTGGGGGACACACAGTGTGTGTGTGTGTGTGTGTGTGTCTGTGTATGACAAGGCATGCATATGTCACATGTGTATGGAGGCTATGGCTGCTGTCAGACGTTTTCCTTAATTTCTCTCCACCTTGTATCCTGAGGTAGCAACTCTCCCTTGAATTTGTTGTTCAGTGATTTGGCTAGTTTAGTTAGCTAGCTTAAGGGTCCCTCTGTCTGCCTTCTGAGCACTGAGATTAGTAGTTTGTCACCATGCCTGAAAGGCATTTAGTGGGGCTGAGGACCTGGCCAGTCCTCATACTTGGACAACAAGTGCTTTATTTATTGAGCCATCTCCTCAGACCCAGATGTAATCAGAGTTTCTCTGTGTAGCTCTGGCTATCCTAGAACTCGCTCTGTAGACCAGGCTGGCATCAGACTCATAGAGCATCTGCCCGTCTCTGCTTCCTGGGTGCTGGGATTAGAGGTGTGCACCATCACTGCCTGGCCCCAGATTTAATTTTTAAGAAGACCCATTTGGATATTAACTGAGCAGACAGCTATCTTTCAGTCTTAGGAATCGAAATCAGACCTGAGGCATAATTTGGGTATCACCAATGTTTGGATGTTGTTTAAATCCATGAGTTTATTTTAAAACTGACTAGAGATAGAAGAGGTAGATAACATTTTTAAAAGTAAAACGTATACACATTAGGATCACCATGGTGCTTCCATGTTGTTTGGCAGGCCACATTTTTATGATTTTGAAAGCAGCATGCTGTTATAGTGTATAATGTGGCATCTTTGACAGTGTTCCTGTCCCTGACTTCCTCAACTCTGTGACTAATACTTTGCAGAGGGGAGCTGAAATACACTAATGAAGTCAGGGTGCTAGTCAGCTAAGTTAAAGATAAAAAGACTAGTCTACTTAACCCAGGTTGACTCCGTGGACTCACCAAGGCACTCTGACATAAGGAGGGAGGCTGAAAAAAAGAACATCCGGATGGCATGCCAACTCAGTGTGCACTTGCTGGCTTTGAGAAAGGAGTAAGAGGACCAAAGCCAACCAATGAAGATTGACTGGAGAGGCTGAAAAGAAAAATGTCCAGGAGGCAGATTTCTCTGTGACGAGGATGGAATAAAGTATCACCAGCACCTTAACTTTAGCCTACTTTGACCAAGCAAACTCTAAGACAACAAATTTGTGGGGCCAGCATAAGAGTTCAGCAGGTAAAGGCACTTTCCATGCAAGCCTGGTCACCTGAGTATGAGCCCCAGAAACAAAAAGGTGAATGAAGAGAATCAACTCCACTAAGTTGCTCTCTGACTTCCACATGCTGGGCTAGGCATGTGCACCCTCTCCCACAAATTAATTATTAAGAAAATAAATCTGTGTTTTCTTTAAGGCACTAAGAGTGTGATAATTGCTACAGTAACACCAACAGAAAACTAATACAGTTGCTATAGCAACCACAAAATCTTTTTTAAAGATTAGAATTTAGATTTCTAAATGAGAAATGTCTAATAACCACTCATGATTTAATTATCTTTGCCATAACCTGCGACCTCTCCATTCCTCATTTAGATCTTTTCCTAACCCAGGAATCAACTTGATGAGTCTTTTACTATTTATTGTAACCTTCAGTGTTACATTCAATATATGTGCATGTCAACTTCAAATTAGACATAAAATTAGCATATCTTCTAAAAGAGAAGCTAGCTAAAAGAATTACATGAAAGGTAAAAAGGGCGGTTAGTGTTGTAGCTATGCTTCTACGCACAGTTTTATCAGAATCATACAGAGACTAAAGTACAACCACACTCTGAAACGTGCTGTCCACAGCCCACTACTGTGTCTATTTTGCCACAGACTGTTTTGACTGACAGGCGTCTCCTGAGTTGAAGCAGCACAGCCTCTGAGACACCTTTCCCCCAACCTTCCCAGGCAGTTAGCTGTGCGAGTCAGTGCTCTGCAACTTTTTGTTCCGTCTATAACACAGTATTTGTTGCTTTGACTTGAGCTGGAAATCCTTCCACAGAAGGCAGTATCTAACCTTTACTTCCTTAGGCTCTAGGGTAGTGCCTGGCACATGGCACATTTTCAAAACTGTTCTTTTAGACTATCAATGGAACCCAACCTGTTCTCCATTGACTGACTATGCTATGGGAAGAGTCTGACCAACAATAAAATCTCAGAGAATCCTACAAAACGCACTCTGTTCTTCCAAGCACCCTGGTTTCCATCACAACATCCTTGGCATCTAACAAATCTCCAAAGAAGAATTTAAATATGGAAGGAACGAAACCCATGACAAGAATTTGACCAAATGGAAACATGTGAATAAAAACTGTCTAGTGAAATAGGATAGCTTCCTTTAGCATATAAAAAAGTTGTTTGATGGAGGATGTCCTTCTGTATGTGTTTCTCTTATTGGTTGATAAATAAAACACTGTTAGTCCAATGAGGCAGGAAGATAGGTGAGGCTAGGAGATGAGGAGAATTCTGGGAAAGGTAGGCAGGCCCTGACAGCCACAATGCTGCCAAAGGAGTAACAACATGCTGAGGCATTACCAGGTAAGCCACAGCCTCGTGGCAATACATAGATTAATAGAAATATGTTAATAATTAAAACAGAGCTAGCCAATAAGAAGCCCTAGTCATTGGCCAACAACTTTATAGTTAATGTAGTGTCTGTGTGTTTATTTGGGCCTCAAGGGCCATGGGACCAGTCAGGACAGAAAGCTCACATTACAGTAGTTTCCTAAAACAATTTTAAGATAACATTTTTATTAACTGAGTATGTCATATATGCAATGTCCTCTAACAATTTCCTGCAATCTTTCTAAGAAAGCCCATCTAATTATCTGATAGGCTTACGATTTGTTGGCTTGTTGTACAGGCTATTCTTCAATGCCCATAGATCTTAAAGTCCTTTATGTGAAACACAAGGACTAAGAATGGTACCATTTTTACACGCCCCAATAGACTAAAAAAATTACCCAGACTCTATTGACACTTACCAGGCTGTTTCTGGGGGATGTTTTTGTTTGTTTGTACCCCACCTCTATGTGGATAACAGACACCAACAGCACTGATTCACTTCATGTGTAGTATGTATGAGGCTCTTGCATGTACTTTCCTAACTAACCTATGCAATAATCCTACAGCAAAGGAGATCCTGTTGTATATATAGGTGAGGAGGCTCAGCACCATGAGGTAGACTGACCAAGGCTCACAACTAGTGCTGTCATTTCATAAACACAGATCTGTATGGTGGGACCTTAAGAGAAATTATAATAGCCTTTACATTTGACAGTGACATGGTTACATCTGGCTAGTCACTGTTTAAACTGTTTATCCGCTTTTGTCAAAATTAGAAAGTCAGCATGAATTCCCAATAATGTGCTACAGAACAGACTAAATTTTAAACATTTTAAGACATTCTTTCATTTTATAGAAAAGTCACACCCAATAAATCTGTAACTTATATAAACTGTTAATTAAACTGGTTTTAAAGGCAAATATAATTTGGCTGAATGAACGAGTTTCCACCTTTAATGCACATATCACAGGCAGAACTGAGAAGTAAGTTTGTGGCTGTTGAATTCTAGCAGCATCTGTCCACTATGCTGGGAAAACGATACACGTAGAGATGAAACGGGCTTCTCCCTTGCTCATCCTGGCCTACTTTCTAAAGGACAGAAATCAAAGAATGTGACCAATCATCATCAAACTTCAATTAACTGTCACGACTTCTGACAGGAGAGCTTCATCCTACAATTTGTAAGCTAAGCACTGCCAAAGCACAGAATTCTGCAGCATTTCCAGCATTCACTTGCTTACTTCAAAGTACTGTCATAGCTAACAAGCCAGGAAGTCAGCGTTTTAATATACAATGAAAAATACTAAGTAGGCACAAACACTGAAGTGGGTTAAGTCATCACTTCCTGCTGTGACTGGAGAGTAAAAGTACTAAAGATCTGTATGTAAGAAGCTTGGTTCTAAGCCCTCGGTGCTTTAGGGGCAGCAGAGCCTTGGGAAGCTGTGCATGGGAGTGCCTTCAAATGGCTATGTGAATCCCACATGGAAGCTGTGCATGGGAGTGCCTTCAAATGGCTATGTGAATCCCACATGGAAGCTGTGCATGGGAGTGCCTTCAAATGGCTATGTGAATCCCACATGGAAGCTGTGCATGGGAGTACCTTCAAATGGCTATGTGAATCCCACCCCTTTCATTCCTGTCTCCATGGGGCAGGCAGCTTCTCTGCAACAGGCATTTACCAAAATATGCTGTGCCACCATGGCCAACAGGGACAAAACTGAACCAAAATAAACTGCTGTTGCAGAAACAAACATTGAACACGCCCGCCCTGACAGAGGGCTCACATGGATAGTAACATTTTGAGTTCCCATCTACTTGCTTCAAAAATGATTTGTCTATTTATTATTTCTTCCTCATCCTCCACATCTCTCTAATGTAATGGGCTTCAGGCCCTGTATGCCATAAGAAGGAATATATTTACAATACACATGCACCCAATAACACAAATGTCACCCAGTAACAGTCGGCCCTTTCACATGTGATACACTCTAGCATGCCTCTTCTGGTTTTCGAATGCCCACTGCAATGGTGAAGTGTGAAGTTTGAAGACTGCAGTCTACCACAGCCACCTCTCTCCCGTTACCTACCCATCCTCCCCACTGTCATGCATCTCAAGCTCACGATACCCTCCTCAAACATTCTCAGGCTCCCCTGCCTTACCTGAACAAACAGTAAAAATGACATTTTTCCTACAAACATGCCATTCATTCAATAAAAACCTACGGAGAAGCTACAGGTCACTGTGCTAGATCTTGGAATGCACTGACACGTGGGTCAGGCATGATTACTGACAGTCGTTACGTAAATATCATATATGCCTTTGTGAATCCTTTTACCATGCTCTCCAACTCACTCCATTCTCTCCTCAACTTTTACTCACCTGCTATAATCGTTCCAATCTGCACAAAGATCCCAGAGAAGGCTACACTCTTTTACACAGGGTGGCCGTCACCCACATATTCTTTCTACGTCACATGGCCTCTTCCTCATCATCTCACAAAATCCTCTTCCACTTCCATGAATCAGCTTGTGTGTCCTCTACAGAGCTCCAACCGATTGCTGTCCTGATGCTTTTAGTTCACTCCTCCTGACCTCAATCCTCTCTGACACCCTCATCACAACGCACTGCGGTCGCTTTAAGATGACAGTCGTCTTAGGGTTCCTATTGCTGTGATGAGACACCATGACCATAGCAATTCTTATAAAGAAAACATGTAACTGGGCCGGCTTACAGCCCAGAGGTTCAGTTCATTGTAGTCATGGTGGGACATGTTTGTGTTCAGGCAGACGTGGTGCTGGAGAAGGAGCTGAGAGGTCTACATCTTGGTTCTCAGGCAGCAGCAGGAGACTGTGTGCCACACTGAACACAGCCTGAGCATGTGACCTCAAAGCCTGTCCCCACAGTGACTCATTTCCTCCCAGGCCACACCCCCTAATGGTGTCACTCCCTATAGGCCAAGCATTCACATACATGAGCTACCACCACTGCAGGCTTCTATGACCATGGTTATCTTTGCATCCATAGCTTACGGTTCGCGGAATCAAAGAACACATGCAATAATTTTCCTTGAGTCCACGACTGCATTACACTGACTGCTAATTGATATTTTGACACAGGATACTTGTAAATATGTATTTTTCTGTTTAAAGTCTGGTATACACCTGTTTTGTTTTCTATTAGGAGTTTGCTCAAAAGCAGGATCTGAGGAGATATTTGCCTTGGTACTGATCAAGTGAATATTCTTAATTTCAGTAACTCCCATGGCAAGAAAAGGCATTACAAACTTAATATACTAGGTCAGTGTCTGTGCTGTGGCACACAGGCCACACAGTTCCCCCCAAGTGAGCTGAGCTGTCAGATGCTACTAACCTGCTCATCACCTCCACCCCTCCGCAAAACTTCACCTCTCTTTCAAATGACTTTAGGACGTTTTTGTAGGGTGGACCGACTTTCTTAAGGAAGCAACTCTCAGGCAAGGTTTAAGCGGGCCACTGACATGTGCCACATGTGACATGTGCCACACACTATTCAGTATGTTTCTATGTGATCCCCTCTGAAGTTCCCTGCCCACTTTCCTCCACTGTCTCCAGAAGACTGGCACGTCCCAATGTCTACTCCGGGGTCAGTCTGTGTTGGGAGCCTCTCGCCAGTGTGTGGTCATTCTTCTGCTCTGGCCCTGGTTCAGATCTGCAGTGTGAAGGGTTAGCTCTAGTAACCCAGCACTCTCTTACAGTCTCCGTTCTTCCTGCGCAAAATGTAAGAGGTCTGCTGCGGGCCTGGCACCAAGTACTTGCCGATTTAAGAAACTCTGCTCTGTTCTTCATCCTTCTCCAGTCCCCCTGGACTCATCTTGCTAAGTAAATGTGGGCTTTCTACTCTCTTCAAATTCCTCCACCTCCTAGGACAGCAATTCCCCAGACCAGACCAGGAGTGCCTAGTGAGAAAGGGGAATCCTCCTTTACAATGCTCCAGGCTTTGTAAATCAGAAACTGTGAGGGTGGGGCCTCTCCTCGTGTTCTGAAGCCTGCTGTTTGACAGCTGCCGTCCTGGGAACACAGTGCAACAGTGCGCACGTACCTGGCGTCATGGCCGCTGAACCCTTTTCCCTACAATCTCGTTCCAAACCTCCTCCAAGGAGACTGTCTTCCAAACCTGCCACCTGCTTTCCCAACTTCCAGATCTGACCCACAGGTCTTTCCTCTTCTATGACGTTTCTCCTCCTCTGCTTAAATTCCCGATTTCTTAAGACCTCTTCTGACGACCTGGCTTTGTGAATCGTTTCCTCTCTGTAACTGCAACTCTTCTGGATACTAACTTAGGGGACACGGTGGGAACATGCTATCTCAGTTGGACGCCAATCACACTGAAACCAAGGGGATCACATAGAAACACAGGCATTTGTTTTGTGTTGTAGAAAATCTGATCTCGTGACAATGAGGATTTAAAAGCAATTTTTACAACACCTTTCTTAGACACAAGAAGATCAAGTGCTTTGCCCACAAGACACCAATCAGCTGGGGCGATTTTCAGTAATTCACTAGCTGTATCCGCTATCTCCACCCATTTCAAATAAATTGTGACATCTTCAAATTTTGAAAGCACCGATTTGCACTACTCATGGTTACATAACGTCATGTTTATATTTTCTCCTAATTGGAAACGAATCGTCCTTTTTCTTGGGGGTGGGAGGAATCGAGACAGGGTTTCTCTGTGTTGTTTTGGAGGCTGTCCTTGAACTCGCTCTTGTAGACCAGGCTGGTCTCGAACTCACAGAGATCCGCCAGCCTCTGCCTCCTGAGTGCTGGGATTAAAGGCGTGCGCCGCCCCCGTCTCGCACGAACAAGCCTTTTAAAAATACGATTTCCCTAAACGTATTATACTTCGTTTCGTTTCTCCCGGAAATTGGTTTTCCGCCAGCTTAGCCATTTCTTAGTCTCCTTTTGTTCTCCAAAGTGCACGCACGGGCCACACTCTTTAAGAAAGGCTGCAGACAGCAAGAAACGCTATTCCTCACGGCTCCGGCGGCCTCTCCCCGCAGTGACACCCGGCCTATGGAGGCTGGCGCGCCCCCCGTGCAGCGCGGGTCTGCGGGCGCTGTCCCCGCGGCCTTCGGCCACCCGGACACCGCCCCGAACGCTACCCCAGAGCGGGCTGCAACGTCCCCAGAGCGGGTGTCCGCGCCAGCCCACCCAGCCCTTCCTCCGCACGCACCCCGTCACGTCCTGCTCCGCTGCCCCCCGCGGGCCTCCAGGGGGCGCCCCCGACGGCGGGGCCGACCCCGGGCGGAGGACGCGGCGGCCCTGACTCCGCGCGCACGGGGTCCCACACTCACCCTGCCGAGGCCGCGCCGCCCCGGCGCCGCGCCGCCCCTTCCGCCCACTCCTCTCGTTCGGCCCGCCCCTTCCGCCGCACGCCGCGCAGGCGCAGGCGCGGGCGAGTCGCTGACGGGGCGTCCTGTGTCGTGGCTGCCGGGCGGGGCCCGCGCGAGGCGGGTGGCCGGCCTGGGCGGGAAGCCGGCGGGGACGGCGGGGACGGCGGCGGGAGCGTGGGCTCGGCTTTGACCGTCCCGAGCGCAGCCCGGCGTCGGCTGCCGCCCCCGAGGGGGGAGGGGCGGGCTTCCGCGTGACCACGCCCCCGTCCTCCGCGCCCGGAAGCGTAGCCTGGGTCACGAGTGACGACGCAGCCGGGTGGCAGCGCGCGCGGCCACCTGTTGACTAGCGGCGCCACCCCCAGCACAAGTGCAAGGCCGAGCAAGGGCGAGCTTTGGGTTTGGGTGACGCTGAGTGCACAGAGGCTGAAGTTTTCCTCTTTAAAATAGCCATCCGTGCTTGCAGGCCGTCCCTTGAAAGGACTCACCTTGCTTGGGATGGAGTGGTTATTTTTATTTATTCATTCACTCGTCCATTCATTCATTTATTACGACAGGGCTCTGGCTGTCCTGGAACTCGCTCTGTAGACCAGGCTGGCCTCGAACTCACAGAGATGCACCTGCCTCTGCCTCCCAAGTGCTAGGATTAAAGGCGTGCCCTGTGGCTCCCTGCTGTAACTAGTTTAAAAACTTAAAAACAGACACGAAGTAACAGGAGGAGAGGCAGGCCATTGTGTACTCCGGGGTTTTTAGGGGAAGTTTCTCTTAACATTGTAGTCAAGGTAACTTAAAAGCGGATCTCTAGCCTGTACCTGATTTTTAATTTTTATTCTGCACACTCTAAGACACTTTCGTGTGTGTTGCTTTTTAAAGATCTAGTAATCCCCCAACTGTTGGGGAATGTCACTCCTTTGGAAAATACGAATAGATGCTCCATTAGGCAGAATTGTTCCTGTCACCGGTGCAGGGGGAAAGTGCAGCCTGCCTTCGAGGCTGTGAGATTTCCACCTATGTTCAGCATCCTTTGGAATAGTTTAACTGAATCCCATTTTAAAAGCCGGGCAGAAAAGTTCAAAACTGGTTTTATTTGGGCTTCAAATATGTCAGTGTCATAAAAAGTGACAACCAGAAAAATGATTACATTTAAGGCAACAGCAATCGTGGGTAGCAGTGGGAGTTTTAAACTTGAAGACACGTCGACTTGAATTTCTTGAGGATGATCTTTTTAAGAGGATCGTTTTGTTGTCAGTCCACGTACATTCAAGTAGGTCTGAGGTCGTGAGATCTACAAATCAAAGGTAATCCAGAATGAGTGTTTGGAGATGGGAAAAGCAGGGTGTTATGTTAACAGATAATTTAAGTGGCAGCTGCAAGTGTTCTTTTAATCCTTCCACCTTAAGTTTGAAATGTTTAAAAAGATGTTGGAGCAACGGCTCAGCGATTAAGAACGTATTTGCTGCTCTTGTAGAGAAGCCAGATTGGGATCCCAATACCCACAAGGCAGTTTGCTAACTCTATGTAACTCCAGTTCCAAAAGAGCATTGCCTTCTTCTAGTCTCTGTGGACATCAGGCACACATGTATAGCACATACTTACAGACAACATAAAAATAAGTATTTTTGGAAGTTAATCATTGGGGAAACATCGAATCTAGCAATTACTTAAACATTCACATAAAAGAAACAAAATCCATGATGTAGTTTTCTTAAGAAGTGCTGCACCATGTCTAAGAACTGTGGGAAGAGCTTAGAAATTACCTCTTTATTACAAGTCCATATTTAACTCCGTATGCTAAGGCCTGGGAATTCACCAACCAAAGTAATACACATCGTCTGGTGGTCATGGCTCAGTGATGTGCGTGGTGTGCTGTAATGGGACTTATAAGTCTGGTCAGTTATGGCTTTTTAAATACTCAGTTCAACAAATCTGAGTGGCTGCCATGTTTCAGATACTGGACAGGGTCCTGTAACTTGATAGCAAAATCAGAGCATGCTCATGTCCTGTTATAGGAACCGCATTTGCATGAAACCTACTGCCATCTTCAGCACGTTTAAAAACACAGCAGGGAAACTGAGCAGGGCGCTATGTCCTGGGGAAAGGGCGTCGTTCTGCCCATGGCAATCACTGCTGTATTATTTAGACTGACTGCTTTCTTCACAGGAAACTGTGGTGGCTCTTAAGCACTTCATTTCTCCATTAGCCCAAGTCAAATGATTACTTACCTTTAAGTAAACACTTTGTCAGCACTTCTGAAGTTTAGCATTTGAAGGAACTGCATTGTGAAACACTTTTGAGAAGTGCAAATATGCCATCTAGTTTCTATGCATGGAAAAGATGTAGTCTCCATTATAGTCAGGCCTCATGTTATGTGCAGTTAATTTATCCTAAAATTATCCATTTCTTTTGGGTCCAGAGGCAATTTTTATGTTCAGGTTTATGAAATATGCACAACTTTCCACCCAAGGTCATCCTTGTAACCTTTTAGGGATGCTGGGAGCCCATTTCTGCCTCCCAGCAGGTGGCAGCAGATGAGTACTCTGTAAGGTATGGTAACTTCACCCTGGTATTCCGTCCTGGTTAAGATATTGGCTGAGGCAGGCTCACCATTCTTACTGAGAAGGGCAAACAGAACATTCATGCCGCCCACCTGGGAGTTGGTATCAGCTTCCTACCTGCTTGGGAGAATATACTTAAATTATATAGCTGAATTTTATTGTGTAGTTATGTTAATATTCTTTTCCATTTCATTCTTTTTCCTTCAACCTTATTATGGCATTCTGTATGGGACTTTTGCATCTGTATTTAGATGAAAACACTGTTCATATCATTAATCAATTATTACCCGTCAACAGTAGCTCAACATTAATGGGTATAGTTTAAGTATTCTTATAGACATATTATTTTTAAAGCTTTTAATAGAAAAACAGAGAGAAAAAATTAAAGCATCCAAGACAGAGGAAGCAATCTGGGGCATCAGATAAGTAAATGCACTGCTAAATTCTAGTAAAACCGATAGAGGAATGGTGATAAAGAGACAAATTAGTCACATCTGGAGGATTTCAACACTCCCCTACAGGCATAAGACACGAACCTTCGACTGATTCCATGGCAGAGCATGGCTGTAGTGGCTGGGGCCATATTTGGTTGTCACAATCAGGGCATGCTGTTAATGGAGTCGGTGAAGCCAAAGAAGCAGATAAACTTTCTGTCATGTGCACACCTGTCTTCCTCAGCTTTGCTGACCTCAAGTATCAATGGCCCTATGCTCGAGAATTCCTAGCTAAAACTGCAAAAGAATATTACAAGTTAACTTAGACCAATAAAATCGGATAACAATAAATAAACTCATTCACAAACCAAAATTGGCTGAAAAGGAAATAGAAATTTTGAACTAATTTTTAAATAATTTACAAAACAACTTTAGGCCCAGATGGTTTCACTGGTGAAATCTGTAAACAGTTAAAGAACATGTGATGTCAGTCTTACATGAATTTGGAAAATAAAAGGGAATAATGACAGCATAATCTTACAAAATCTGAGATGTTAGAAAAACATCACCGGGGGGCAGGGCATGGGAGGAGGGGAGGGAAAGGGAGAGGAACCTGGAACTGACTTGTGAAGCAACCTTGTTTCTTATCTAAATTTAAACTGGAAAATAAAATTTAAAAAAAGAAGAGAACATGGGGAAAAAAAAAGAAAAACATCACCAACAAGCACCATGTAGAAACAGATACAGAATTCTTACACAAAAATAACAGCAGATTGTAACATCAAAATAGAAAACAAAAATATAACAGGCAAATGGAATTTATTCCAGAATGTAACTTTCACCCAACATAAATAAATCAGAGACCTGATGGCACAGGCCTGTAATTCCAGCTTCTCAGGGCTAAGGCACAATCACAAATTCATGGCCAGCTGAAGTCCAATCAGGTACTTCGGGAGAGAGACAGACACTCCATCAACAATGAACCCAATATCTGTATTTCTAACTCATGATGAAAACAACCGTAGAGCTAGAAAAAAGAGAACTTGGTTACATAGTGACATCCATTAATGACCAGGGACCACCAGCATGCGTATTCACCAATAGTCTGTCCTAGGACTGGCAACAAAACAAGGCTGACTGCTCATACAACTTCTATTGAGCTCTGTTCTAGGTTCTCACAGGTCTTCCAAAGACAGAAGATTAGAAAGGAAGGGAGTTAAACTACTCACAGCTCAATGTAAACAAGGCTCAGTTACTTGTTACTATAGGCTGTGTGTACAGAATATCTCTTAATTCTGCTGAATTAATGTTGCATCGTAGGGTAGAAGCTGTGTAAAAGTATTTCTACATGCTAGCAAGCAGCAGTCAGAACATGAAATTTTAAAACAGTAGCACAAATACTTTTACATGCTTTTAATGAAAGATTCTAGATTCTGAAACTCAAAGCTGCTGAAATGAGAACATTGAAATAAACAAAGTGATGACCACATTTCAGGTTGTTGGCCTCAGAAGTTCAGACTGACACTGAGGAGAAAAAAGTGTGGCATTGCTAATACTAGTTTCCAGCCGATTGCACAGCCTGGTTCTGCCCTGAGCCTGAAATAGTCTGGAAACACCTGGAGCTGACTGTTTTACCTCGGATGGTATCCCAGAAATAGAATTACAGCATATTTAAAATTCACAAAGTTGTGTCTTTTTTTTTCATTCCTTCCCACTGATGGCTGTAGTTGACAAAAAAAGAAAATCTGTTTCTTTTGATGAATTTAGTAAATAGGCAGAATGTAGATGACATTTGCCTGATGGTATAACAAAAATTCATTGAACAGTGCTGACTTTGGGGAAACTACCATTTGCAAACTACATTCTGGTTGACAGTATAACTCATTGTGTTTATAGAGAGGCATGATTTCAAGGAGGAAGCCCCTAGGATTTCCTCTGCTCACTTAATCTCTCTGATCCCATTATTCCAACAAAATACTTGAAATTCATTCTTAAGGAAAAATTGCAACATCCAGCTTTGTGCTCACCGAATCTCTTCCAAGGATTGATGATTTATGATTTGGTTTAATAGATCTGTAAGAAGATTTGGGATTATAAGTAATTCTTAATGTTAAAAAGTATTTTCTGACTCTCAAAAAGGTTTTATGTGCTTATTGTTTTGACTGTCAATCATGCTTAACTTAGCAAGATTACTTTTCAAATTTCACCTTTAAGAATATGAGTGTGTGTGCACATGTGTTCATGCACACATGACCAGGAAACTTCAGAAGTTAGAAGAGGACACCAGATCCCACGGAACTGGACTTGCAGGCAATTGTGAGCTACTACATGGATTGCTGGAAATTGAAATAGGTCCTCTGGAAGAACAGCCGGTGCTTTTAACCATTGGGCCATCTCTCTAACCCTAAATTTTACTTGGAATAGCATTCTGAAGATCTCTTCATTTCCTTCCCTTCTAAAAAAGCATTTTTGAGCTGTTATTTCAGTTTCTGTGTTTTGCACTGTTCTAACTTATGCTAACTTCTAATCATCTGAAAACAATTCTGCTCTTCTAGTACAATTTTCTGCAGTCTCTGGGGATGCTTTCTTTTCTGATGCCTCCTATTGTGAGTCTGACATTGAAGGGGAAACTAAGTGTGACTTCTTGTTTACAATTTCCCAACTGAGGACTGAGTTATGGGATGGCCACCATACTCACAGTATCCTACTATTAACTGTTCCTCCCAGTATCCTGGTGAAGTAGCTGCTACTAGAGTCCACATTTTATGTGAGGAAGCTGCTGTCCATAGAGATTAAGCATTGAACCCAAAGTGTGTGATGGTTATCAAGCCCAGGCTCGTGTTGATTACATTACCCCATATTTGATGTTTATGACATCTCATTTGACTGTGGGTTTACTAAAGTATAACGAAGCTGCTTTGATCCCCTAATCGTGGAACTTCAGCATGATCTTTCTATGAGACGTCATTGACTATAACAGTACCAAATTGGCAAATTTTCCAATGTTGCTCAAAATTCCCAATGATGGTGCCAGTGAAATCATTCATATGCAGTTACTGATACTAGCTAGGGTCAGGCCTAAATATGTCAATAGAGAGTAACTAAAGGTTTTTTAAAAAATATTTTTAAAAAGAGGATCCACAAAAGATTATAGGCCAAGGTATGGTTTTTAAATGTAAGGAGTGAAAAGACTTAAAAGGACTTAAAGTGATTCACTCATAGAAGTTAAAAGGTAAGAGATGAAGCTTTGCATCCAGAAGGTATATGGGACAGAGGTCGCACACTTTCCACAGGAAGGAAAAGAGAAGGAAGTGAATTGAATGGCAGCAGGTGACTATAAAGACAAAGGGAGACCATCTGGATGGTGGTGGAGGAGTGCAGGGCCAGTAAGATTCCACAGTGAGCAACGGGGGCAGCTGGTGGTTGGACTCTAGAAAACCCTGTAGCAGACGCTGCTGTTTCCTTTTCCAAGCAGGAAACTCATTGTTTTTTCCTGTAAAATCAAACTGGGGTCTACTGTGGAAGAAATGAACAGTGCCTTTTAGGGACAGACTGCAGAAACAAACCTTTACACATAGTGCTATTATGGTTTGGCAATAGAATTTGCTTACCATTTTGGATCCGCAGAATCAACATCTCAGGTTGCAGATGTGCCTATTCCTTGGTTCTACCCCAGACTCACTGAAGCAGAAACTCAGGGTCACATGTTGAGTATATTCACCCCAAAGCTCAAGGCCCCCTGGATATTAAGAAAATTCACTGAAGCCTTAGTGACATAAAATCATTGAAAATTACAGTCCGACATTAAAGCAATGACAAGGGTGTGATAGGATGCCATCCGGGCATTTAAACACGATTCCCTGAATCCTTTTGACAGTAGGTAATGTCTGTGACATGTCAGTGGGAAGTCTGAACATAAAATTACTCTTTAGCCTGGGGGATGGCCTGCGAGTAAAGTCCTTCACTGTACTGTGTCATTCAGACCTGAGTTTGGAGCCCCAGTACCCACAGGAAAGCCAGTCACAGAGTTGGGGAGATACTCAGAGGTTAAGAGCACTTGCTGCTCTTGCAGACGACCTGGGTTTGATTCCCAACACCCACATTGTGGTTCACAGCCATAACTCCAGTTCCATGGGTTCTGATGTCCTATTCTGACCTCTGTGGGCACTAAGTAGACTGATGGGTGGGCGGGCACTCACGCGCGTGCACACACACACACACACACACAGACACGCACGCTCGTAAAACACCCATACCTGGCACATGCATCTGTATGCATGCTCCCTCTTGTTTATCTTAAAGATGTTGTTTCCACTTTCCTTTAGGAATTTATTTTGTGGCCAGGTGGTTGTGGTGGCGCACGCCATTAATCCCAGCCCTCGGGAGGCAGAGGCAGGCAGATCTCTGTGAGTTCGAGCCCAGCCTAATCTACAAAGCAGAGAACCCCTGTCTTGAAAAGCCGTGTGTGTGTGTGTGTGTGTGTGTGTGTGTGTGTGTGTGTGTGTGTGTGTGTGGTTTTTTTTTTTTGGTTTTTTTTTTTTTTTTGAGACAGGGTTTCTCTGTATTGTTTTGGAGACTGTCCTGGAACTAGCTCTGTAGACCAGGCTGGCCTCGAACTCACAGAGATCCGCCTGCCTCTGCCTCCCAAGTGCTGGGATTAAAGGCGTGCGCCACCAACACCCGGCGTGGTTTATATTTTTAAAAAATATCTTTTAAACAATGATTAAGAAAAAGAGGAAACAAGGAAGTAGAGTGGGAATAAGAGAGAGAAATTCAAATGGCCCCAGTTTGACCAAAAGAGAAGAAATGGAAATCATACTTGATGGACTGAGTTTGCCTCACAGAGACATGTTCCTCAGTCAGTGACTTGCAGATGGAGCCCACTGTTTGAGGAGAGTGTGCCTTCAGAATGCAACTGCCGCATGAGTATCCAGTCCTGAGGCCTCTGCTGGTGCGTCCACTAGAGACTCCGTTCTTCCCTACACACCCCACGCAGTCCCCAGAAACCAGCCATGCATACTAAACGCCACTGCAGCCTCCCAGCATCAAGCGAAATGGTCCAAACTCGTCTAAATTGTATAAACAATTCAAAACAAGTTACTTCACCTCCATTGTCCCCCTTTCCCCTTTAAAACCCGCACTTCCTTCCCTTGGATGGAATACTTGTTTGCACCTGTCTCCTGGTTTGTAAATCTGTTCTATGCCAAAATTTAAAAAAAGTCTTTTATTCCAGCTTAGTTTATGATTTCTTTGTAAATGGGAGAAAATAACAAACTTTCCAAAGTCCCATTTAGATATAACATTCTTACTCACCCCCCAACACCCCTTAAAATGTTTGGTTGCTAGGAAAAATAATAACACAAATGAAAGTCCAGAAGCATCACAAACAGCTATCTCGATTCCTCCCGCATGGACACAGAACAGAAACCCACTTAACTTGTGTTCAGCATTGGAAGAGAATAAAGGGAATAAAAATTTGAGAGTGATTGAAAAATCTTACTGCAATACTACAATTTGCTCTTTCAAGTACATTAGTTACTAAAATATTAAGTATGCTAAATATATTGGGGGAAATGACTTTAAATTTACATACGTTTAAATATCTTACTCCTAGGAAGGTTATTTTAGATTACAGTTGTTTATTTGCATGAGTGTGTGTGTGTATGCACACACGAGAGAGCACTTTGATGTGAAAGACAGACGACACTTATGGGAGGCAGTTCTCTCCTTCACCAGGCAGGTACTGGGAATCAAGCATGGGCTGCCAGGCTTGGTGGCAAACGCCTCTAATAGGCTGAGCCACCTCACTGCCCCTCCCCAGAAGGGTTCTTATCTTACATTTTTGTTATTTGAATTAATAACCCAGCTGATAAATAAAGCAAAAACCAAACAGATTAGAGTTTTGTTTTTGTTTTCTATTGTTTTGTTTTCCAAGACAGGGTTTCTCTGTGTAGCCCTGACTGTCCTGGAACACACTTTGTAGACCAGGCTAGCCTCGAATTCACTGAGATTCCCCCTGCCTCTGCCCTCTGAGTGCTGAAATTAAAGGCATGCACCACCAGTGCCTGGCCAGATTAAAGTTTAATACCTACCTTCCTGCCGGCCTATCTACACTTATACTTTGAATGATAAGATTATATTTTTTTTGACAAGGATCTGTAGCGCTGATAATACATCAGGGCACTAAAAACTCAGAGAATTGGGACCAGCAAGACAGCTCAGCCAGCGAAAGTGCTTGCCTCCGAGTTTGAAGAGCACACTCAATCCCTGGAGCCAACACAGTGGCAGAACAGAACTGGACATACATGGTGTCCTCCTGCACCCATGTGTGTAACCGCTGCAGAATATTTCCTTACACTGTGCGAAGATGCGTCACCGTGATTGGTTAATAAGGAGCTGAATGGCCAATAGCTAGGCAGGAAGAGGTTGGGCAAGATTTCCGGGGACACGGATGTTTCAGGGAAGAGGAAAGGCAGAGATGCCAGCAGACCTGGAGCAGGTTGGACGTGCCATACTGAGGACAGGTAACTGAGCCACATTGCAGAATGTGGATTAAATTATAATTAAACTATAAGAACTAGTTAGAAAAACGCCTATGGTAAGGGCAAACTTTCATAATAAGAAGTCTCCATGTTATCTGCAGGCTGGCAGTTCTGATGAGAAAGCATGCTACATGTTAATATGGTACAAACACGTGTGCAATTGCACATACACACATTACATACTAAATTTAAAAATTTAGCAAATATTGTTAAAATGTTCCAAACAGACCACATTTCTAGTCTCTAATAAAACAAGATCAAGATTAATACCAAATAATTAAACAGGGGGTGGTGGTGGACTCATCATTTGACAATATAGTGTGTGTGTGTGTGTGTGTGTGTGTGTGTGTGTAACTGCAACAACAGCAACAAAAAAACCCCAAAAGTATAATTGTAGAATCTTGTGGGGGATAAATGAATATGAAATAATAAACCTAATGGAATGTGCACAGATGAACCAAAACCCAAATCATTATTTAAGTATTTCCATTGTAAAAAACAAATTGAATGAAATATTCAACACAAGAATTAGAAAAATAACTTCTTCCTTAAAAATTAAGAGAAAAGAAATAATCTCCCCCACCTGCCAAATTATGAGAAAAGTAAATATAGAAGCTCATGAATTAAGTGAGTCCAGGTGTGGCCATACATCCTAGCACTCCATGAGAGATTCAGTGAGGAGGACCGAGTCCATGGGTCTGATGTATGCAACAGACTGTCCCAGAAGAAGAGCAATGGAAACATAGGAAATATGAGATAAAAGCCATTGGTTAAAAAGTAGACTGAGGAGTTAGCCTTTGCAGAAAAAATAATACAAAAACACCCTGGAGAAAGCATGCGCACCCTAATACTAACACCAAGATATTTGAAATACCTTCCAATTCTTCTAGATAATTGAAGAGTGAGAAAGGTGGGAGAAATTGTATTTTTTTTAAATTATAAAGATTACCGCCTTCCAGGTCCCAACTTCCAGTGACCCCATCTTCAGGTGAGCTTGGGTCTCCGGGGCCACTCCCCATCCCCCTGCCCAAAACCCATGCCCTCAATCTTCCAGGGGCCGCTCCTGGCATCCAGAAGACCCGCCCACACAGGAAAGGCTTCAGCCTTTCCAGGCCCCAACCTCTGGCAACCCCAGCTTCAGCTTCAGGAAAGAAGGAGACCAGTGGAGACAGAAACACCCCCACCTGCACCCACTGGAAAAGGAGATGGGAAGAAGACAGAATAAGAGCTCACTCAGCAATAGAAAGACAAACATGACTCCACCAGAATCTAGAGAGCCAACGCCAGCAAGAAATGAAAAGCACTACATAGACAAAGCAGAGGAGACAGACCTTAAAAATTATTTTATGAAGATGATAGAGACCCTCAAAGAGGAAATGAGGAAATCCCTTAAAGAAATAGAAGAAAAAACCAACAAAAAATCCATGAAATGGGGGGAAAATTCAAGAAATAAATCTCTCAAAGAATCTAAAGCGTACCAAGAAAAAACAACCAAACAAATGAAGGAAACAACTCAAACAGTTGAAGGATTGAAAGCTGAAATAGAAACAATAAAGAAAACACAGAACAAGGGGATGCTGGAAATAGAAAAGCTGGATAAACGACCAGGAACTACAGATGCAAGTGTCACCAATAGAATACAAGAGATAGAAGAGAGAATCTCAGGTATTGAAGACTCATTAGAGGATATAGAGTCGCCACCCAAAGAAAATATCAAAACCGGGAGAGGGACCTCGAACTGACTTGTGAAGCAACCTTGTTTCTTATCTAAATTTAAAATGGAAAATAAAAAAAAAAGAAAAAAAAAGAAAATATCAAAACCAACAAATCCCTAACACAAAATATCCAGGAAATATGGGACACTGTGAAGAAGCCAAACCTGAGAATCATAGGTATAGAAGAAGGCGAAGAAATACAGCTCAAAGGTACAGAAAACATATTCAACAAAATCATAGAAGAAAACTTCCCTAATCTAAAGAAGGATATGCCTATGAAAATACAAGAATCTTACAGAACACCAAATAGGCTGGACCAGAAAAAGAAGTCACCTCACCATATAATAATCAAAACATCAAACCTACAGAATAAAGAGAAAATATTAAGAGCAGCTAAAGAAAAAGGCAAAGTAACACATAAAGGCAGACCTATCCGAATTACACCTGACTTCACAATGGAAACTATGAAAACCAGAAGATCC